GTTTGAAAATCATCACTGCCAGCTCATTAAATTACAGATGATTCAGAAGTCACATGAACAGTTATCAGCCCTGCAGGAACGAGATTGATGCTTTTTTCCAAGAATCACTGTGGCAGCAACCAACATTCAATTTTCTGGTCCTTTATTCTGGAGATGTCAGACAGTTTCTGTCACAGCGTTTATTTACTATCCAGCGAGAAGCTGACTGGGTATGAGTGGGACATGTCTCTGCTGATCATCACGAATGCTATCCTGTACATGACAGCAGTGCGGAGCACTACAGATATGGGCAGAGGTCTTTGCTCAGCATCCTATGCTGGTTGCTGAGCTAAAGAACCTACCTGTAAAACAGCCCCAGATGATACATGAAGCAATAATAGCAGGTGCATTTGTAGAGAGCGAGAAGCAGATGCAAGCATATAGTGTCTTTCCTGACCATGCTTCTGAAACAGACGCAAATTGCAGCAATGCCAAAGAAAGGCGAGTGGTCTGGATGCCCTTACACTAAACCCTTGCCACACGCGTGAAATGGGTTTACACAAAACACATTCACTGACTGCTGATCTATGCATGAGTTGAAGATGATTTGCTACATCTTCATTTATCAGCCTCACCATCGAATCTGGTGTTAAGTCGAGTCACAAGGGATGCAGAGATGGGGATTTCAAGGTAATTGCCAGCAAGTCGAGAAAATCCATTTGGTGCACCACAAAATCCTGATAAAATATGCAACTCGACAAGTGCGCTTGTGATTGCAAACGTTAGACAAACCCAAAAAAACCTTACCAGTAAGTGAACAAAACTTGCGGTCTGGGGGAGCAACTCTCTAGTCACTTGACCTCAGTGATCAGAAGAATAAAAGTCTGTGAAGCTGAACACTTCACACAACAAACAAGAACGAAGAAGGTTGCGGCTAAAACAGCTGCTCGGGAAAAGTAATGAAATAATGCCCTTTGGTATTGACACAGATCATTGCCAGTGGTGCAGAGATTAGACATTGTGACTTCATTCGGAGACACCATGAATGCGTGACTAACCACAATTCTCTCTTCGCGATGGATGGCCATGAATTAAGAAAGGTACCAAGTTCAAGCTAGCTGAAACTTCCTGAAAAAGGAGACCAAGTGCACCAGCAACTCCTGCTTGCCCCAATCATGACAGAAAGACAGCGGTAGTCATTGATCCATGTATGCCATTGACACTGCGTCTTTCACAAAGGTGAAAGATTTCTAACTAGACATTGCTGTGAATTGATACCAAATACCTGAAGTTGATAGTGCTGCTGGTACTAGAGTTCTGCAATTCTGTTTGTGACAGGTTACAGGGCAAAGCCTGAGGCGCTGTGGCCAAGAATACAGGTATGCCGATTCAAAAACTGCCAAAGAATATGAAATCTGACCATTACACAGCTCCTGTACCCACAAGACTTATATGCAGTGGCAGCAAAAAAGGCTAACTCCTAAATTCTCTGATGTGAGAAATGGAGACTGTGAGAATAAGAATCTGACCCTGCTGTTGGTCTAGCTCATTCTCTACCTGGGTGGTGATTCACACAGAAGGACGAAGAGCGTATTAATCACATAGCGAGTCTGTTAGGGATGATTCCTGATCTAGAATCGACTGCAGAAGGAGGTTATACAAGGTAATCCTGGCACACTCTGTATCGAGTGTCCGAATATCGGAGTTTGAAAGAGTAGTTATCACGCCAATGACACGACCATTATTACATGGGCGTACACTATGGAGCAACACACTGAGAGATATACCTGAACTATGGGTGAGGACAGCCAGCAAACATACATACCATTCATGAAATGGATTGGTGACACTGGGAACTTCAGTGTAGTGCAATTTGCCCTTCATCATAGCCTGCAAGGGGCTAGAGACAGCTTACGAGTTATCACCGGCAAGAATGGCATGTTCAAGTGCAACTTGAGTCTGACATGACCATGGATTGAAAGATGTTTTGGGGATGAACCCTTACTGAAGTCGTATCAGAGAGACTCCTCAAGCAGGCAAAGAACCATCACCCCAATTGTTTACACATCAGCTCGCGCTGTTGATTCCAGGATTTTTGATTGGGCAAGCTAGGCATAAAAGTTGTTGAAAACGATCTACTCTCCTAAACTATTTGCCCCCAAGAAGATGCATATCTTTGCACTAAAGGGGCTGCCTTTGCACGATTATAGATAAGACTGCTGCACGTTGCAAAGCCCAAATCCACCTTGGACAGAATTTGGGTGGACTCTGGATAGGTCGCATGTGGTTCCCCGTTCCTGGTACGCACAGCCTGGCCTGTGTCAATGAAGTAAGGCAATATCGTGCGGATGTCTAAAGGTGGTGCAAATTAAGAATGTCATGTGCTAAGAATATCAAGTTTCACAGGCTACATAGCGGTGCCGCTTTGCAAGGGGACTTCAATCAAATGTAGCGATGAAGGACATCGAGGAACACGGAGAGTCCAGTGACGTTAGCAGGATCAGATATGTGATTAAGGAGAAAAGCCGGATGCGCAAAGTTAAACGTATAGTAATGTAATTTGGAGCAATATAACTGTTTGTTAGAAAAGCAGAATAACGTTGTCTGGTTACCCACTATTGGACATACATCATGGCAGTTTACTAGGAAAGTTTTCCAATTCTTTAGTGGAAAGGATTTTTGAAATTAATGAAGAGGAAAATTGTTTTTTTGGATGCAAGTTTCATTTTTGTAAAAAAATTGTCAGAAATCTCAAAAAATATTTGGCAAATTGTTATGCAAATCATCATCTATGCCCATTAAATGTGGTATCATCTGTGTAGGGAATTGTATTCCCTTTAATATGATACCACACACATGGTGAGAGGAGGTTCTATTCGAAGGTTATTATCAAAATTTGGTCAACATTAGTTAGACATAGTGGCCATTTTGAAAAAATGGCGCCATTTTTTTTCGAGCAGATATTTTCAGGGTAGTTTACCTGCTGGAAGTTGAATCAGGGAGGTCCCCTGAAACATGTTGATACCAAACAACCTTTTACAACACCATGTCTGCTAAAACTGTTTGCCCCTGGTGTATTACGGTATTAATCGTAAATTACCTTTTGCTCAATATCAGTAACGCCTATATGTCAGAACCAACCACGGCCATACTATCTTGATACTATGGACGTCGATCGAAGAAGTGCGCCGTCGCTCAGCTATTTACATCAGTTGAGTCATGAAATCCCCACCCTTAGGAATTTGCTCAGCTACGGTGCGCTTGTACTAGAGATCGCGGCTGAATTTTTCCGAGTGTTATCGGCGATGTGGTTGGCAACCTAGGGACTCAGTCTGGGCGGAGCGGGACATATCACAATTGAAGAGAGTCGCACAACGCGAGGGTGCGCATCGAACGCGATTGATTGTTGCTGTTGCGCTAGCCCCAGTGCTAGTCACGTTACGTTGGTTATAATTCACGGTAGAGGCACTAGTTGGCGGTTATTAGCCTCTAAGTATGGTGCATCGCTAAGCATGCGCATAAATATGTCATTTAAAGTGAATCAGTGCGGTACGGGCGGTGAAGCAGGCGATTAAGACCACTAATGTGGTCTTACGAACGTTGCGCGCGCATGAACGCAACGCACAGACGCACGCAGGGATACGCACACGCACAGCTTACGGCACGAACGCACGCACAACAAACACACCACAGCGCGCGCAGCGCCACGCCACAGCCGACAGTACACACACACAACACAGACACGCACGGCACGCACACATTACGCATGGGTCACACAACACACCAAATATGATATTTGATTTTATCACGACTATTTAATTGAGAATTTATAATCGATGAATAGCCGACATAATATTGGACTGTGATTATTGGCAACGAATATGTTGTGTTATTGCGACGGAACAGAACAATGGATTTAACAATAACATATTTAAAATATAAACATAATACATTCAAATTATGTATACAATCTCCTAAACTTATAAATGCACTTACACTACACGATATACTACGTACTACTCACAATTGCATCACTAACTCGTAATCACTGAGAAGTGAATTATATTATGAGCCCCAGGGTAATTACTAGAGCCAATAAAACCTTTCACCTGATTTTTGAGGTGTACCTGGTGTGAATATATAAATATATGGATTCTATGTTAGCTTCGAAATAAAATCCACGATGCGTATCAAGCCACCTAAATGCCATTTAAGCCACGCGATGCACTCTATATTTATGTATTGAGTACGCGATGTAATACGTGTCATCCCAACAAACATATTTATTACTTGTTTGAGTATAACATTCTTGAATCGAGATATAGCGGTCTTAATTTCGCGCATCCTAATGGGCCAACATATTACGCATATAAACACACTATATTGAATTTAAGTCACTTAATAACAATCTAATTATTACACTCGCGTGGTCGCGTGGTGGCAATTGATTAGCCGTTATTTCATACGCGCGTAGAAATAGAGAACATGGTGGGTATTCATTTACGTTCGCGAGTACGTTCATATATTCATTGTTCCACGATCAATAATACGATCTCTGCGTGTGTGTCGCCATCAGACTAATGTATATGTAGCACCCTGAAATAGCAGCCGCCGGTGAAGCCATGGAGGCACAGCGCGAATCCCCGCATAATTACAATGGGAACTTTGCTAGGCGACGCGACTAACAAAGTATACAATACAGGCATAAATATAACGTAGATATCGATTATTATATATATATATATATATATATATAAATGAATATCATTTCTAATTTAGATCGTGGGGAAAGGCAACTTTAACGCCATATAACTAGTGACCGCCATTTTTGGTTGCAAATATACAAGCAATAAATATTATATAGTCATATATAGGCATAATACGATCAAATACGAGAATACAACTATTCTGCTATCGATCACATATAAATCAAGTGATAATCATATATTCGGACCGGCTATTTAACAACGATTGCTCATATTATCCATTGAAATAAACAGGAGTAAATTAAAAACAAAACATTTGTCTGAAAACATTTGTTTTAATTAAGTTGTTTCAATAAAAACATTTGTTTTCGTTTATTACTGATATGAACTGTGACCACAATTGTATTTCATATAGCGCATAAATGGGAATTGTGACGGAGGCTGCCTAACCAAGCCTTTCATTACGACGAGATATAATTTTATTGGCCATCAAAACATTTTCCTCTGTAGTAGGCATCCGCTGTCTTTCTATCTACTCTGATGGGTCCTTAGAAGAATTCCGACGTAGGATTTTTGGTGAGCAAAGGTTTCCGCTCATCTGCTGAACTGTCTAAGAATTCGACGAGAGGCGTTTCGCCCTTGATTTCTACCTTGTAATTTCTTATGCAATACACCAGCAGCAGTAGAAACTGTGAAGTGTACGAGGTTATATATCAGACACGGAATTATTTACATCAACATAAATAGCGCTTATACATAAAAACAATCATCGCATAGACAAATGTACAATGCCAACTACCCAGAGAAAGGAAGTACATTGGTAAACGAAGTAGAAATTTCTGGCTGTACATTAAAATAAGCATATCGTATTCGGCATACATGTGATAATATATTAGTATATAGATACTTACACATGCTAACTCTATCATCCCCACTACAAACGCTGCCCATTCAAATCCCATATAGTCATCCATGATCCCGCCTATGGTCGGCCCAATGAATGCACTGAAATTATAAACGAGAAAGAGCATGTTTGTGTAGGATTAAGTACTTTATAAGAACGGAAACTAATCTACCAATGTGCCAGTGCTTGACAAATTGTTGTTGTTGTTGTTATTTTGACTATAAATCTAAAGTAGTACCAATGATCTGTTAAAAACACAATCACACAATAGCAGGTTTACCCCTAAATAGTATTTCGTGTTGACGCTTAACATTTAGCTTACCTCAAATATTTATACGATTGGAAATACTATAGATCACTGTTATATCAAGAAATGCTTATGACAAGTGAGAAATACGAAGTATTCACTCTGAAAACCATGGAAATGTTCCTACCCGAGTGCAAAAAATGCGTTAAAAATGCCCGAGACTAGTGCGTATGTAGTGTAGTCGTCAGGAAATCCATGTTGCCTGAAAAATCAGTAAGATTGACTTTAAAAAACAGAAGAAACGTTGGTCAGTCATTAAGTCACACTATTAATATATTGTACGACGCTAGGTATGTTTTCATCACTGTATGTTCACGTCTATTATTATTCACTTCTGATATTATGCGTAGATTTAAACTGTGACTAGTAACATTTGTTAACGACCACACACTCTACACTAATATTCATCGCGAGTGATCATCGTATTCATTTCTTTTATTTTCTTCTCGATACTGAAAAATCCACATTGGTTACGAAAGTGCTGGATACATTTGAAACATAAATGTAACAAGCATGCTATTTGCGGTTTAGTGTAAATCGCCTTCGTTTAAATTCATGCTACTCGAGTACTATATATACTTCGCTGTCTTGAGCATATCCAGAAGACTAGGTACAAGCTGTCCCCCGATGGCAGTACCTTGTAAAACTAAACAGACGATCACAACGGATAGATATCTGCAAAATATAGTCGTAAAGTAAAATTTATCTCGATATCATAATCATGATCATTCATTATTATAGTAATCCTCGTGACCATCATCGTTATCATCATCATCATCGTCGTCGTCGTCGTCGTCGTTGTCGTCGTCGTCGTCGTCATCACCATCATCATCATCATCATCATCATCATCATCATAATCACCATCATCATCATTATCATCATCATCTTTACCACCACCACCACCACCACCACGGTTAAGCTATAGAAAAAAATATAGAAAAAATCATGCGACTTCATGGGGGCATCATGGGAGCAGGTTACGCCGGGCAAAGGTCAAACGCGGACGCTGCACTTTCTGTGAGTCAATACCTACGTAATAATAGCACCATAGGTGTTATATTGATTCCCTTATTTTTCCTCCTTACAGATCGATACACTTGAACAACGACATAGTGCGAGGCAATATAAATAGGTATGAGTCACGCGGTAAATGGAGTTAAATTCCCTTATTATACAAGCAGTACATTAATTCCACTACCTACAGCGTGCGTAGAAAAGTAAGAATGTTGTGGAAATGTAATGGTGACTGACAACTTTACTTACGTTTCACTGTGGAAAAATGGCGCCGGACCAATGAAAAAGAAGCAAATCACGTTGACCGACGTTCCTAAAAGCATAAGCAACTTCGTGTGACCCTAGAAGAGCGAAGGTGGTTCGGTGTTAATAGGCTGCAAACTGTATGCTACCGATTCCATTCCCCGTATGTGTGCGTGTGTCTATGCGTGTGTGCGTGCGTGTGTGCTGTCACGTGTTTGCGTGCGTTCGTGCGTGTGCATGTGCGAGCGTGCGTGCGTGCCTGCGTCCGTGTGTGCCTGCGTGTTTAGACGTACGTGTGTGTGCGTTCGTGCGTTCGTACGCGCGTTCGTGTGTGTGCGCACGGGCTTGAGTGTATGCGCGTGTGTGCGTGCGAGTAGGCGTGCGTGAGTGCGTGTATGCGTGTACGGTTGTGTGCATGCATGCGTGAGTGCGTACGTGTGTGTATGTGTGCGTATGTGTGCGTATGTGCGTACGTGCGTGCGTGCGTGCGTACGCGCGCGCGTGTGTGTGTGAGGATTAATAGATCCTCTATGTGTGTATGATGTCGTTTTAGGAGAGGACGTGATCCCGTGTTGCAGGACGTACGTTATCGCGTGCGTGTAATTTTCTAAGCGGTCGTTAGACGTTACGGTTGGTCGTTGTCGCTGCAGCGTGTCTTGCCCATAGCGCGCGCGTGTATTTATGTAGATATAAGTCTACACTCTCCGTATTGCATCGTGTTCTTAACGATATGCTTCTTCTACTGTTCACGCCGATGCTGGTCGTACATCTATCTCTACAGCTGCCTTCATTTCAACGTTTCTATAAGATAATGATCATGATTACTGGACCATCTAGAGTCCTAGACGCTTCCGAATTTACGGGTTTACTCGGTTCCATGTGGTCCGTGTTGCATCTGTGTTAGACTTTTTAACCCCCATCCATTCGATACAATAACCGAACCATTTATAGTGGTTTTTCGGGTGTCAGCAAACATTACGATTGGAGGATTCGCCCCCTGGACTTCACAAGCCTTACCCCGAGACCAGGGTGCGCGACCCTGTCCCCATGCATGTTCTACACTTACCCATCTATCTCCTAGTCGACCCCACAGAACAGCAGTCAATGCGTACATAGTGGAGTTAACCAGAAACACCAGCCCGACCACGCTGGGAGATAAGCTAAACTGAAACCAAATACATAGGTTAGGAATTTAATGCATTGCGTTATTAATGGAGCGCAACGCGCATTCGCTAATTATTATCGCTATTAATTTACAATAATTAAGAAATTTGGTCACTTACGTTACGGAACTAGCATGATATCACCAGTCAATGATTCTTATACGGATTATTGTAGTAGTTTTACACAAATTACAAGCTGCCACGCGTGGGTCGTTTTCACAGAAGTAACTCTGATTGACGATTTTTGATTGAGAAATCGATTGATGAATTACGTCCAACTCGCAAAAAACAACATTTATCTATCTATCTATCTATCTATCTATCTATCTATCTATCTATCTATCTATCTATCTATCTATCTATCTATCTATCAAGTCAACGAGCTGTCACGACATAACATCACGAGCCACACCACCTACAGCAGGAGCCGAATCAGCTAGACTTTGCGCTCCGTTATTATGTTTCGAACTTACACGAAGACGCAGATCCTATTTGACAGTAGGTGGCTGCCAAAATAACAGACTATCATCTGCCAGGCCAGGCTTTCGCTCGCTTTATCTACACATGGAGTGAACGAAGCGGTAGTAATCTTTACTCAACGTGGCCCTTCGCTCCAGGAAGTTGTTGGAATCAACATAGTCACGTATTAACTTTAGTTTGCGCTGCTCTAAAATCAAGCTCGACTGACAGTAACTTGTTCGCGGAAGAAACTGATGGCCACTAGGGTAAATAGTTTCGGTGCTTAGAATTTTTATACTCTCAAAGATAATATATATATATATTAGTATATATAATATATATATATAATATATTATAATATTAATAATCCGCACACAGGGTGAATGTGTATTGTTTAACATTGTCGCATTACACAGTAGGTCCAACGGCCACGGTATTTTTATGCATTCGTGACGATTATCACATAAAAATATCAACATATATTCACGTGCAGATTAAGTGCAAATTCATTCACCTCACCAAGTTAGTAAACGCTAGAGTGCATCGAGGTTATTCTTACATTAGCTTTTCGCTTACGATTGCAGTTGATATATCGTATAAGAAATACATTGTAGTATTACGTAAACGTCTTGCTTATTACATTACACCGCAGATTTACTTGCGACATGCTCCAGGGTTTTGTCTTCTCTTCATGTGGAAAGTCTATGCGTCGACGCCATATACACAAAAACAAATCAATATGGCCCAACGTTTTATCAAATATTTATGCATCCAAAAACTTTCAAAGGATGAGAATACTGTCATGATAACAGAAAACGCGTAACCTTCGGTGTCTGAGTGGTATGGCTGACGTAGTTTACACTTCGGTGGTGTGCGCGAAAATTATACCGACTCAAGTTTGATTAAATTTGAGCAACGCCTCGCATGATTAGCACTTAGCACGTTAGTAATAATTATTATTTATACTTTCAGCGAAAAACTGTCGACACGTTGTCCGGGAAATTCGTTTGCAAGTTAAATTACGCGAAAAGCTAATGAGAATGCGACTTGTGCGCAGCGCCTGGAATATCCCTATACCGCCGAAGCAAAAACTGGATAAATTGAACGCGCTGCCGCCACGAGATTTAGCAACCTGGTGAATGAATAAAGAAAAGTAAATGGAGATGTGCTCCCGCGTACAGGCTAAACCGCTATTGATACGGAAGACGGAATTACACTAATGGTGATATAATTCATATGTAATAATGTACAGTTAACCTGCAATTGTCATTCGTGCACTTATGTCAACTTACACGCGAGATTATCCTACTGGCTCTCCTCTCTTCCTCTATTCCTTCCTCTCTTTTCGGCTCTCTGTGTGTGTTTCGCCGTGTGTGTGTGTGTGTGTTGTGTGTGTGTGTGTGTGTGTGCTGTTGCTGTGGCGTGCGGTGCGTGCGTGGTGGCGTTGCGTGCGTTGTGTGCTGAGGCGTGGCGTGCGTGCATGCACTAGTGCTTGCATTTTTAGTACAATTTGCACGCGTTTCCCCGTTCCTAGCAAATAGTAAAAGTTAGCGCTACGTAAAACTACTCCGGACGTATGGCTGTGGTAAAGGGCACAGAAAGAAGCACAGGCAAAAAACGACGGGCCTCGACAATATAACATTGTTATATACGAAAGTACCCAAACGAGATTGTACACGTTACCGGTCACGAACATTCCGCGAGATGAATACGTAACTTTGGAAGCCCAACTTTGTTAGGCTAAAAGGAAATTAATTTCGTGGATTAAAATACTCATCGACAGAGACTGTCAGCATCTTATAATCTACCCAGCTATATCTGCGTATGCAAGCGAATTAATTTGAAACTAAGCGCGGAAATTACATTCGCAATTATTGAATCGATTTTTCAAAGACATGTCGTTTAAGCGATGCGCTCGTTTATCCGAGGCCCGATAAAGCGGGTCCACTGTATTTCGCGCAAAGAAAATTACACACGAGAGAATTACGTTTACTATAGCGCAAGTATATGATTAGAATAATTTAAGCCACGACGGAGGGCCGCCGGCCGGCCCCCGATATTTATACGGCTTATAATGAATGGAAGGCCAAATTATTTAAAAAAACCGGATTCAGTCACGCGGTGCCGTCTGATAATTTAGAGCACAGCGCATGTATATATAAATATATATATATAATATATATTAATGGTATGATT